GAACGTCAGCCAGATTAGCAGGGGTATATTTGGCAGCAGCCTTGTGCCTGCACTGCCTGGGCCTCGAGCAAGCACAGTGCATCAGTGGGGTCTCTGCGAAACGGAGCAGGACACTACACAGGGTTAAAGTCAAACCCGATTTTAAATCCAGGGTTCTCCCAATCTCGTGCTGAACTGCTCATGAAAATATGGCAGAAAACACACAGGGCTGGTGGTATTGAGCCCTGCACTCCCAAACACAGGCAGTTAACACAGACAGTTCTTTCAGTCGGTGAAATTTGCTTGCACAGCCACTCATGCCCACAGCACCACAGGCAGGAACACAGCCAGGACACATTTGGCTATATAAACATGCCTTAGGAGTTCTGCAGAAATTCAAGACACTGCCTAAAATCTCTAAGTTTCTGTAATTTTGCTCTACTTTTGCATTTTTAATTAGTATTTGCAATGAGCTGAAAACAAGAAACCGACTCAACAGGTCAATGCCAAGTGAAGTTTTTAATTTCTACCTCTACTTTTATAGCTACAGAGAAGGACCTGACTATGCAGCCCATCAGGATGTTCACATTCTACAGCACTTTCTCATCCATCATTTCCCACACTTCATGGCCAGGCGTGCCAAGACCGAGATATCCTGTCACACACCACGCATACCTTTCAACCAGTGTTCTGGGCGAGATAACTCAGGCACACACTGCTTTTGTGTAGTTTTGCACTCCTAGTTCTAGGCTGGTCCAAGGTCCTGTTACACTTAACAATAACATAGTTTAGTCTTTTAAAGATTGCCTTTGTATAAATCACAGCCGCTACTTACTCTCTTAATAATGTTCTCATGGGAATCCCAGCTTCTGCAGCACCTTGGCTTGCAGCCTGTTGACGTTTCTCCGCAAGTATTTTTTTCTAAGAACAAGCACTCCACAACAGAAAAACCATCAGTGTAGCAGTTACTGTCAAAGTAAAGCATCCACGCCTCCCGGTAGGTCTGGCTACGGGCAATGTGGTACAATCAGGTTTTGGAAAAGCTTCCTTAATTTTTGAAAGGCCCTGATGTGAACAATTTTATATGCAATAGCATTGGGAATACCATATCATAAGGAATATCTGAATGTGTGAAATTAGAATGTTACATGAATGTTATATTTACTCAAATTTTAAGTTTAAAGTAGAAACTTGAAAGCAAACCAGTAAGAAAACATTCAAGCTTTCACAAGAACATCCCAATGAGCACACAGAGCACAGAGGGATGAGGAGTTCAAGACTGCCTTTTATGAAGATGTAATCAGTTTGTGCACAAGAGAAGTGCAGTGGATGCTGTTTACCTTGACTTTTGCTATAAGACTGTGTCAGAAGCCTTGCTAAACTCGTGAGATATGAGTTGAATAAGTGGACAATAAGGGTGGGTGGAAAACCAGCTGGACCACCATGATCAAAGCTTTCTGAGGACTGGTATGAAGCCCAGGCAGTGGGTAGCAGCCAGGAGTGATTCTCAGAGGTTTTAGTGTGTAACATCTGTATTACTAACCTTGACTACAGCAGAGCGCACCTTCAGTGAGTCTGCAGATGATGGCAGGTGAGGGGAAGCAGGTGACGTGCCTGAGGGCAGGGCTGCTGACCAGAGGGTCCTCAACGGGGTGACAGAAACCTCGGGGCAGAAAAATGGGACAGTAGCGTGCCCTTGTGGTAACAAAGGCGACGGCACCCAGGCTCCATGAGCAAGACAGTAGCCAGCAGGGCAAGGGAAGCGATTATTCCTCTCTGTTCATCATCTGTGAGAGCACATCTGAGAGCTTCATCTGGTTTTGGACCCCCAGTACAAGAAATATCTTGGACTGGATCAAGTCCAGCAAGGACAGCCAGAACGGTCAGAGGGCTGGAGCAGAAGGACGTACATGGGATGACAAGGGAGCTCTGCTCAGTCTGGAGAAGATAGGATCTCATTACCATCTTTCTCCAATGTGAGAGCAGAGAGAAGACAGCCAGGCTTCCTGGAGCTACGCTAAGGCCAGAGTTAATGGAACAACATGAAACAAGGAAAATTTTAATTAGGTACCCACCATGTGGGTGACGAAATGTTGAACCAGGGGCTCAGAGAAGCTGTGGGACTCCAGCCTTGGAGATCCCGAAAGCTTGACTTGTCAAGGCCACAGTCAACTGATCTACATGGGTCCTGGACTGGACCAGAGCTTCACAGCCCCAAACTGAGCTGCTCTGTAGTAACAGTGATGGCCCTCAAAGCAGCACTCACTAACAGAAATGGATTAGAACAGAGATTTTTTAAAAAATAATTTTATACTAAAAGGTTCTTTGGTCTTATTTATTTGCATAATTACACCCATTTTTCTTTATGTGTTTTCAGATTCACCAGAATTGAAGCTGTAGGAAGACTGAATTAGGACAAGACTGGTAGTAACAGGAACACAGAACCTCCTCCCACACACTCACACGTGCTCTCACGTTAGCAATGTGGAAGACTGTTCTCTTTCGAATTGTAGGCCAACAAGTTTTGGGTGGTGTAATCTACCTGATGAGTAAGGACTGCCACAGCAAAGTGTCTGCTCCAAGGCGATTCCACTGCAAAGGCAACACATATCACGCACTTCCCTTCCTTTTAACGAACATTAGCGGGAACAGATCCTGGCTTGGGACGATTATCAGTGCCTTGCAGAGAAATCAAGGGTGACTTAAGAAAAATACAGTAAAACTCATATACAAGAAATCACTGCCACTACTGACAAAATAGATTAAGACATGTTGCATCTGCTTTTTTGTGAAACAACTATGGTGAAGCTTTGACGTCCTTGAGCCTTGACAATTTGGTTTAGATATACGAAAGAGGTCAACAACTACTGAAGTTTAACAACTGCATCTCTGTGCCGATTACAGCTTCTGCCTTGTCAGCCATGGCCAGATCTACTGCTAGTGCTTTGTTTTTCCCTAGAAGAATTCAACAGGGTAGAGTGATGTTGTAACCTCTCATATTCATTAGAAGGTGTTTTCAGCATGCCAGGGACATCCAATTATGATTTCTCCTTTAACTGATGAGAAAGCTTAGTGTCTCTACCTGTAACTAGTTGAGACAGTTCAGAGAATCTGGCTGGAAATCAATGCATACAATGCCTGAAACTTTGAGCTGGGAGGTGGCTGCACAAGGTAACAGGCAGTCCCAGGCTCTCGACTGCGAGACCATTACTTGCGACGTATCACGATGAGGCTGACATTCAGCTGTTGAATTAGAAACAGTGAAAGCCAACTGTTCACCACTTGCTATCAATTACTAGCTGTATCCTTTTCCTTTCTGATGTAGAACTTCCAGCATTTTCCAAGACTCTGCAGACTCTGCAGCAACTCTGCAGTACTCGGGCAGAGCTTGTGTGCTGCGATGGCACGTGGCAGCGCGATGTCTGAGCAGAGACTGCAGCAGCACACCCCTGCCTGTGCTGGACTCCATTGTCAGAGCAAAGCAAAATGGAAAGTGATGAGCAGAATGTAAAAAGCCATGGGTTTGGGTCCTGCCTGTTGAAGGGACACCCTTTCTGTTCACTCCACAGGAGAGCAGAGGCAGGCGAGCAGAGCTGTCTCATTACTGTGAAGGGCAGTAGGCAGGCCTAGCTCCGTTAAAGTTCTGTAGAATTCGATACTCTGCTTTGCTTCTAATTTCTGGCACTTCCTTTGGCAGAGTTGGGGAGAGAAGACCAAAGGCTCACCTGGTCACTAACAAATCTGCTCTGTAAAGTATCTTAAGGGTGCCAGATGCTGGTTTAGCATCCACAGCTTTGAAGGCACTTGGGAACCTCAGCAGACTTCTGGTAGCAACACACTTTCACAAAGGGAACTGAAGTCACAAATACTTCAAGCACCTGATTTGGCGGTGGGGAGTGAAGTCATCAATTAGAAGAGCAATTCTAATTTTTTAAGTATTTCTTTGCCTCCTGACTCCCTTCAGCTCTCCACACCTGACCTCTCCGCAAAGCCCTCTCTCTGGCAGCGGGTTCTTGACCCCGGTTTGGGAACACGGAGTCTCAGAGAAGTCAAGAACGCCATTGTTCGCTGATGGAGAAGCTTATCTTAGCTCTGAAAGTCTATTTACAGCCTTCCATTAATACACTTTCCTAGCAAGCAGAACAACTACAATGTCTCTATTCTCTCCCTTGATTAGCCTTGTTATTCTGGAACCTCTGGCAGCTTAGCAACAGATTCTGATGACCTAGAAAACTTCAATGCACTAAAAAGCAATACGTGTGGAACACAGAAGAGCCAAACTGGGGGAAAAAAGAGCGTGGTGAACAACTGAATATACAGATACTGTCAGCAGATCCCCTCTACACACACATTTTCTTGTATGTGCCTTTCATTTTAGAGGCACATCCGCTATCCACAACTGCTGGTAAACAGAATTCTTATGTCCCAAATGGTTTTCATCCATGTTTATTTGACTGCCCTCCTCTTGTCCTTTAATTGTTAGGAGCAATTAGGTTTTCAATTAAAGCTTTCAGAGAAAAATCAAAAAGCCTCAAAACACAACCACCTTAGAACACGCTGTACATTCCTGCATCACTTTTATGGGATGTATTTGATGTACATACATGATATAACATTATTTCCAATTCCTATTACACTCTGGATTAGTTCTAATATCACTTCTGGTGCCTTTCATCCTTGGCATGTATAGTTCTCATATTTAATGTCTTTTCGTAAAAAATTGATACCTGGACCCATTAAAAAAAGAACAATATGGGTGGGGGTTTTCCTGTGCATGGAAACACCGTTTTTAAACAAGTTCTGTAGAAAAGATTGAGAATTACAGAATAGCAGTGGGAGACATTTTGAAACAAAATCAAATACACGTTATTCATGTCACAACGCCTACCTTAGCCCCACGCAAGCACTTCCCCACTTTTTGTTCCAGCTGAGCAGACAGAAGTGGAGCACTCATTTTTTGAACACTAACTGTGCATTAAATACTCGTGCACATTTACAGCAGCCCAACATGAACACCTCACCTGTTCATTTCTCAGCAGCTCTATCATTTCCATTACGCTGACAAAATGGCAACAACGATCCGAGTGATCGACCATAGATGTGGGAAAAGGACGATTCTGCCAAATTCTCCATTCAGCCAAGGAAAGCTCCTGAGCTGCTGCTTCTTCATGCTTCTGCAGTTTGAAATTGAGATTGGCAAGGAGATTTTAATCAAGGAATTGTTTAGCAAAACTAATGCCCACTTCTCTGTCAGCGACAATAAATACTCTAAATGCAAGAATTATCTGAACATCATCAGAAAGGTTTCAATCTGGTCTAAACTAAAACCAATTCTGTGCTTTGTGTTATCAAGGCTTTTCATGGAAAACAGTTTTAAGTGGCGAAATTACACAAAAGTTCCAATTTTTTTTCTCTGGGTCAGAAAAGAGCTTGTAAAACTTGATTTTTTCCTTTCAGTAACACTTCTATAGTTACATAAACAGAGGCATGAAAAAGCATGGATACAATACCATCAAGAATACAGCATCCTGCATGGAATTCTTAGAAACAGGAACCCAATGGATACTGAAAGACTGTTTAGTATATTTTTAATATACAGCCCTAACCTCAAAGACCAATTTCAAACATCTAATTCCTAAATTCCTAACCTCTAAAACCTACTTATAATTCTCAAAAATGCATTTTTAATACAGACCTCCTTCGAATTCACAGTTAACTTTCTTACTTAGGGAGTACTTTGGGCCTCATGTCAAAGGAATAATTACATTTTGGTTAAACTCACCAATATTTCTTCCAGGTTTTCTAAGGTTTCAAACCGAGTTTGAGGCAACATTGGTTGTTTTACTCCATCACTTTCCTTAATCCTGTAAAGCCTGTCCCAGATTTCATATTCCTCAGGTGACAGAGACCAGTTCTCATGAGAGTGTACTTGCTTTTGGCCTGTGGGGGAAAACAGTAACAGGAAAATGTTGTCTACCTTAAGAAAAAGGATACACAGAATAAACCCAACTCTGTGTGACACCTTTCAAATAAGAAACACCTCCTCTGTGCCACAAGCAAAACCAGATCTAGAGAATCTGATGTCAGAAATGGGTATCAGAAACAAGTGTTGGGTTTTTGCTGGGTTTTTTTTTTCGTTCGGTTGGGGTTTTGTTTGGTTTTTTTTAAAGTCATTCTTTAAATACTGGAAAGCAACATTAATTTGTTATGACAAAAATATTTTTTAGTCATTTTTTGAATCAATCTCCTCTATGAGAACCTGCAGATGAATAAAAGGACAGAATCAAACGTACTATGAAAACACCCCAGGAGCAGGGAAATCAAAAAGCAGCTAATGAGTTTTATGTAGACTGACAAGTGGGAAGTACAGGGCACCTGTGAGCGCCAGTGCTGGATAAAACCAAAATATGTGCTCACATGGCAGCTTACTGAAGACAAGGCTCTGGTGCTGCTTGGTTCTGAATGAGTGCATGCCAGTGAGGAAGAGGAAATGGAGTCATTTTTGGCAGTCTGACAGCAAGGCTCAGTACCACCACTACCCAAAAAATGCCAAATCCCCCAAAACAGCCACCAGTGCAAACAGCAAAGGAACATCCAAAGATGTGTACTAAGAATGTGATTGCTTTCAGCCCAGGTGTATGAAGCTTGGAGAAAAACAATTAAGTTAATCAGACAATCTTGCGACAGGATTTGGGATGAACCTGCAGCCAACTCCCTGTTCTGAACTGATGCCAGGGATCAGCCTGTGCCTCTCAATCCTTTCCAATCACAACTGCCAGAGACTGTGTCCCCACAGGACGGAGGAACAATGTTTATTAGAGACCCAAAACCAAACCCCTGGGAGTGCAGAAAACTGGGCTCAAGTCCTGCCCAGAAAAAGTCGTTCACAGCTGGGAAAACCTAACCAATACTTAAGGTTTTCAAGGACATTGTTAAGAAAACCCAGAAAATCAATATTGCTGCTAAAATATTTTTTACTCAAGTCTAGCAGATGTTGCACTCAGTTCCAAGAACCAGTAGAGGAGGAAAAAAGAGACCTGAAGGAAAAGAAAATTCACATTTACCAGAAATGCAGATGTCAGCCTTTGCTGTGGTTGGTAAGAACAGTTAAGTATTGGGACTGCTCTGTTGTTCATGGCCAGCACCCACACCCCCAGACAGAAGGTGCCAGTCTGTGGTTGGCATGGGGTTCTAGGCTGTGCTGCCTGGATGGTGTGGAAAGGAAAGGCCAGAAAGAGTCCTCGGTCGTAACCAAAACCTAATGCTCCTGGTCAGTCCAAAGAAGCAAAAAGATGGCCTACCAAGGAACCAAGAGTGCATTTTCAAACCGCAAAGTGTTAAATAGGAAAAAGCAGGCACCAGCAAGTAACTCTGTAATCAAACAGATGTAGTTTGGCTTCCCTCTTGCTGTTGAAGATGAAGTGTTGTCATCCAGACACATCTAGGGAACCACCAAGAACAACAGAAGACTGCAGTTGTCTGTGCTACAGCTCCAGAGGACAACTCCATTCGACAAGGACAAGAACCAGCACAAGAGGACTGCCGGGTAATGGGATTTTTGCTGCTGTTGCTGTAGTCTTTGAAGAAAAGCTCATACAACTGAAGAACACACTTGATTAGTGACGGGGCAAGACAAGAACAATGTGTCCTGGTACTGACAAACAGGAAAAAATTATGGAAGAGGTTTTGAAGTGGAAGAAGAGTGTAAAATTACTGGAAATTGAATCACATTTCAAAGAACAGGAAATATTTAATTTTGACTAGCAATGCTTGCAATGACTATGATACTTCTGCCTGTGACACTTCCATTTCCATGCACACGTGTTGTTCCACAGACAAACCTGGAGATCAGCTGGACCTCAAGAACAAATGACAAGTAAGAGAGCAAAAATAAGAACATGCACAGCCCATTCATTTCTGCTAGCTTTTTCAGTTTTCTGAAGTGGAAGAGAGCACTGAAATAAGAAGAAAAAATCCAAGAAGTAAAGACCTTTCTTTTTTTTCTTTTTTTTGAGATTTCTCTTGAATATCATTAATCATAAACACACTTGCTTCATGCAGCATTGGAGGGGACTTCAACACAAAGCTGGTGCTCACTGGTTTCCCTTGTGTAACACCAGTTTGCAGGATGCGCAGTCAGTCGTGTGCATCTTGGGCAATTGCAAGCCCTCCGCACACAGTGTGCCTTGACTGTGGCAGCTGCTACCCTGTTTCACACAAAAGGAACCTGGTAATTACAGCCTTTGCAGTCCCACTGCCTCAGCAGGAAATATGCTCAGCATATTACCTCCTTCATGCACTTACTGCCTCTCATTTCTATTTTCTGGGACAGACTTACATTCTAAAATGATTATTTTATTTCATGTTCTGCTCTGTTTATTCTCTTGCAAGTTGTGGCTGTTTATCCCATCCTCGGTGTTCCTCCTGGCCAGCGCCGGGGCTGAGCACGATGCCCAGATCAGCCGGACAGAGGGCTCAGATCTGTAACGAAAACTGCCACGGCCAGGAGCGCCGCCCAACCGTGCCACAGCCGTGTCTGCAGCACGTGTAGACCTACAGAGTCTGGGCTGTGGATGGCACGCACAGATTGATTTGCCTCCCACCTCTTTTAGGAGTTTCTTCTTCCACGAAGTTGCTATTGGCCTTTACAGAAAGTATTTAACCAAAGAGACCAAGCATGACAGCTTCCAGGTATTTACAAAACTTAGCTCTCCCTTCCTATCTGATAATTTTGTTCAGTTCACTGAGCATTTCAGAGCCATGTAACTGCATCAGTAAAGACATTTCTCTTTTTAGACTCATTTTTCTCCAAGAGTGTGTGCAATTCATAAACCTCCTCTTGATTTCCCTTTTCTGCCCACTCAAAAGCCTTTTGTTCGCAAGCATTTCTGTCTTATTGTCATTTACAAAGGTATAAGAAATCCATTTCTTGTATTCTTAAAAACATTTAGCCTAACTGTTAGAGCCCTAAATCAGATTTGGTATAGAATTATCACTAAATATCGAAGTGACAATGTTAAAGGAGAAGAGTGAGGAATTGAAGCAGCTGTCAGCACAGTCAAAAGGCTACAGCTGACCAAAATTACACTTTTGCTGAAGACCCCAAACTCCTGGTAGCACACAGTTTTGATACACTGCCACAGAACAACGTGAGATAGCAGCTTACGTAGTGCTTAGGAAAAGCCCCATAATCCTCTTACCAGTGACACAGGAAAAGAGAGCAGATTTGTGCTGCAGGAAACTGGGTCTTCTCTCTTTGGAGAGTGTTCGTGAATTGCTCGGTTCGTATTTTTCCGCAGTAATAAACATTTTATGCAACTTGGGATTTATGCCTTCTGGAATCATACGTGGGCTATGCTGGTAAAAATGAAGTGTTTTGTTTCCTGAAATAGCTTTGTGGATGCTCCTTTTGTTAGACTGGCTTTGGTTGTAGGTCTGTAAAAGAGAAGATAAATCATACGGACCGTTTCTTCACATGACTTGATCAAAAATAAAAGCACACCTGAGTGTCTGTGGGGTTTCTCATTATTTTATGTTCTGTCTTCAAGACGGTTTTGGGGTGGGTTTCCTGTTTGGGTTTGTTTTTTTCTTTTCTTTTCTGCCCCAAAGACCACTAAAACAAACTATGATGCAAAGCCCTGAGAGCCAACCACATACACTCTTCTGCTGGTGCAGGGTCTTGAACTGCAAGTTCAGGACTTGCCATATGGCTCCACATCACGTTAACCAAATCAGAGAGAGGAAAGAAACACAGACATAAATGAAAACAACAAAGCAATGAGGTTGTACTGAAAATCTGATAATGAATACATCATAACGTAGCTCCTATGTTGGTCTTTTTTTTTTTTCCCTTTTTTTTAAAGAGCTTCCATATTAAAATACCTAAGTCAAATTAAATCTGAATTATCATTGTTTTGTCTAGGTAAAACATTCAAAGCAAAGGTAAGAAAAAGCATGGCAGTACCAAAGAGCAGTGATTGCTCTAAGTCGCAAACAATACAAAATATAAACCACTGTACAGCTTTTTACACTCTGTAAATAGCTCAGAAGTAGGCACAGAACTTGAGAAAAAGCAACACAGCCCTTGCCCGGGGGGAATTTACAATCTGCAATAGATACAGGGATGATGAAAATTAGATTACATCAGAAACAAAGAAAGGAGGTCAGGAAAAAAAAAAGGCATAAGATTATCTGTTAATGTCATATATGCTCCAAGGCCTTTTAATTACACCCAATTTTATTGCACAACAGTGAAACCGAGACAAAGAAGGAGAAACTAAGGGAAAAGTGGTCTCTTGACACTTCTTGTCCTAACTCCTCCGGGTCTGTCTCAGTTCACTCATGCAGAATGACGCCCTGTGGGGCAGTCCGAGTGCTCCAAGTACGACCCCATGGCAGCTATGGTCTGAAAGGGATGGTTTTTGGGAGCCAGGATTAGAGGAGACAGACACAAAAAGATGCTCTCTGAATAAAACTTGAAGAGGTTAACAGCTAGCACTAATAAACTGTCTCTCAGGCATTCCAATAAATATTCTTTTAATCCTAGAACAGGCAAAAACATCTTTTTTGAGAAAAACAGCTTAACAGAACTGTAACTCTGCTGTTCCCATGACAGTGTGCTCCCCTTTCTGTTGTTTCATGGTGTCTGCTGGCCCTGCGAGGCCATGAGCTCCCCTGGGTCCTTCTCTTTGTGCCAGTTCACGTCCGCAGTCATCAGCTCCCTCTCAGGCCAGTGCCCGCGCAGCTGAGCTGGCACAGAATGGCCCAGAACCCAAGGAAAGCACAGCCAGGCCAGAGGGGCAGAAGATTCGTGAGCTGAGCGCTCAGGAAACCTGGGACACGAGTAGGGAGCAACTGTGTGACCTGGGGCAGCTGAGCTGGGTGGGAAACCCTGGGAGGAGAGGACCGGGACGGAGTAATGAGCATTTTGTAACTGAAATTCCTGACAAACTTCCAGACCTGCACTTTCCAATTTTTCCTAATAAAATCTTTGACACAGTCTCCCACAGCATCCTCA